ATTTTAAATGTTAATTATTGTAATATTTTAATATTTAATAAGAATTTATTGTGATTAGACGGACAAGATTTAAATAATATATACTTACTGATAAAGTTAACTTTTCTTTGCTTCTTACTCAACGGCGCCAACCTGTGCAGAGTTTTTACGTTTTTACGAGTATGTTGAAACGGGTTTAATGTTATCTACAACAGGACGGGGAACAATTTAATCATATGTTGTAATTATAGTTTAAGGCTCAGTGTGTCCTGACATATGTTGCAGTGAGAAAGTAGTCATATAACTTTTTGAGGTGCAAGTGATAAAGAAAGTGATTATTCGTGTTTTATCCGTCTAATCACAATTGTATATAAATAAAATTATACATAAGATATTAAAATATCAATTACATATTTGGTACATATTTTTACTACATGTTTCGGTTACATTGAACCATCTTCCTCGGTATGTTCATTTTTACATTTTACCTTCCATTTTTATTTATTTTTACCTTATTACATTTTGTCTTCTATACTCGTTCTTTCAAGTTCAGTAATATTTAAAAATATTTTAAATTATTTACGTTACAGGCCAATGTTAAACCACTATCACTTCAAAATATACCCTCACTCCAATGAATTTGGATGTAAACATCATCAGAAGTTACACAACAACAGTAATTAAGTTTTAGTTTATAAGATTATAATTTTTAACTTTTAACTTTACACCTGAAGATGGTTCAATGTAACCGAAACATGTAGTAAAAAGATGTACCAAATATGTAAATGATATTTTAATATCTTATGTATAATTTTATTTATATACAATTGTGATTAGACGGATAAAACACGAATAATTAAATTTTAATTCACAATATGACGCAATTATATCAACTTATGAAAGAAAGTGATAAAAATTGTTATTACCTCATATTAATTGTTTTTGTTTCAACTATTTTGTCCTTCATAATACTAGACAACGTTCCTGAGGATGACCATGAAGAACATAGTATTTATCTATTTGTGATTAATTTAACTACTCTGTCAGTATCTCAGATTATATAACGTAGAATGATAGGATGTTTAATGAAAAGTGAATAGGAAACGATATGGAAGATAGCGGTCGTGGCTTAACTTAAGGCATTTCACCTTAATTTGCCTAACAGACTGACAGAAACCACAATAAATGTCATTCAGTATAGCTATTCCGTGGGATTAGGTTTGAACCAGTGACTTTTCGATTAAAAAATAGGATTGCTAATTATGAATGCCGTAGGTCTCAATGCGATCGAGATCTCTGGACACCTGAATCATCATGTGCAGAATGCGGTGGGCAGTATTCGAAACATGTGTGGAACTGTGAAGAACTCGCTGTTAAAGTAAAGTAAAGTTTGTCCCACTATACGCCATGTAGGCGCTTGGGGGGAGTGGAGGTATAGCTCCTCTCTTCCTTGACCTCGGCACTAGATGGGGGTGAGTGGTCAGCATCACGCCCCGGCCGGCTTTACCCCCGGGAAAGGACCCCGGTACCCATTGCCACACAGAGCCGGTCTGGACGCAGAGGCTAGAGGAAAAATCCTCTGCCCCCGTCGGGGATCGAACCCCGGTCGTCCAGCCCGTAGCTAGTCACTGTACTGACTGAGCTATCCCGGCTCATGAAGAACTCGCTGTTAGACGCTCAAAATGCGAGCTAAACGTGTTGTCTTTGAGAACATATGAACAGAACCTTGTATGGTATTGTGACTTCAATACAGACAGTTTATTCCGTTTAACTGGCGTAATGAAATTTGTTTTTAGCAGAAACGACCCGAAGAGTACCCCGACTAAGGAACAGAACTTACCTCAGACGTTCTGTAGAACTTCTGGATTTCTGTAAAACTCAATCCTTATCCTTATTATATGATGCGTGTTAATACGCGTTTGAGATTAAGACTATTTCAAGCAGTTCAGTACTCACATCAACATGCAGCCACAGATTGTATTTCTGGCAGATGTCGGCAATCGGTTCGATGGGGTCAAATGCCCCTAACACTGTAGTTCCAGCGGTCGCGTTCACAAAGAAGGGTATGTGACCCTTTGCTTTCCTCTCCAGAATCAAGCGCTCCAGTTCCGAAGGGATCATTCGCCCTCTGTCATGAAACAAAAGACAGTCATCTCTGTTTCTGTGATTTAATTTTCTCACGGAGGTGAAATGGGTTTCTGGGTTGTGACTTAGTGTTTCGCCTTCATCTTCAGTGTAATAGTGCTTTCCTGACAATGGATGCGATGCGTTTATTCGAAACGTTGGTAACCTTCTACAAGACCATATGATGTCAAAACCCAGAATACCACAATCGAACAGACCTACATCGTGATTATTAACACGTTTGTGCTGGCAGTCACAACAGAATATAATTAGCTAATAATAACTCTTTACTCGGGCTATGATACAAATGGAACAAATATTTTTGGACAGCTGTCTTCTGGGTTTTAGCGCCGTGCAGTCTAGAGAAATTTACCAAAGTTTCAGAGGTCCTTGCTATCTCTAACATTATAGATTTGTGTGACCTCTGAAACGTCAGCAAACATCTACCAGACTACACGGCCCTACGACCCAGAAAGCAGCCATCTTCAGAGTCAGTACCGTGAGACCTCAAATTATATATAACTCTCCACGTAGATTTATGTCTATTTATTCTACGAATTTCCTTTTAGATATTACATAATATTTTAATTCTTGATTGAGAGATTATTTAACAGATGAGCAAGACCTTTTTCTACATTTTATATAACAATATTAGATCAAACTCAACTTTTCTTCTACTTGAAGAGAAAAATCATCTCTCGAACCTTCCTCTAAGAACGGAAATTCTATAACAGCTTCTCAAGAACTATTGTGCTTTGTGAAATTAGTTTCTAGTTTGTCGACTTGTTTATTTATTGCTGGTAAAATAATGTGGTCTGTCAGTTTACCACTACTCCACTACTCTTGTAGGATTTGAGGTTTCTACGCCTGTGAGTCTGAAGATGGCTGTCTTCTGGGTTGTTGCTTATTGCCCTGATGAAACGTCGTACACTTCTACCAGACTACACCACAGAAGACCACTATTCTTATAATCCTGTGCAGAATCATCTAAAATGTTGTATAATTATGGACTTTTTTAAGTACTTTTGGCTTAAATGTTAACAGAATGTCCCAAAAAACATGTATAAAATAACAGCAAGAACAACTTTGGTTGTCACTCATCGCTGTCAGCTGTGCGAAGAAGCTAACGGTTGCACTCACAAAGTACAATGCTTTTTTAAGAATTAACGTCAAACCACTGAACCATCATCTTCGGGTGATGGTACATTAACATTAAGCCGCGAGTTGAGTACAGTACGTAAATCAAACAACACTTTGTACCAGTAGACTGACGTTGTTACTGAAGCGATATAAATTATTTTCACGTTTCAAAAAGTATATAGTACAGTGCTCTAAATCAGTGGTATTTAACCCGGGGTACGCGTACCCCCGGGGGTACGCGAAGAAATCTTGAAATTTAAAAAAAAATTATTTTATTATAAACACTGAATAATCAGTAATGTAATTTATTTAATTTATTTTAGATGTAGATTATATAGTATGTATAACTTGAATTATACACCAACAACTTTGGGGGTACAAAGTTGAAGAGAAATTATATCTGGGGGTACGCGAACAAAAGAAGTTGAATACCACTGCTCTAAATACTATTTATTTTATTTTATTTTGTGGTACTCTTACCTCTCGTCAGATGGCACCTCGACACAGTTGTCCACTCCCAGGCCACACACAGCTGCGCAACTCTTGACCGAGTAATGGCACTGCGCATACAAAACGAACAGCGTGTACACCTGCCTTTACCCTTTAAACACAGTGGTAACTCTGTGTGCCATGCGCTGTAACATTCACTGTCACTGCATCTTGCAATTATTTCCTAAACAGCGTTTACAGGGTCTTGTAATGGAGATGCGTTGTGTTTCTCCATGTTTAAATATTCTTTGCATGACTTTCGGCGTTCAAAGGGTTCACACAGACTGAATGATGTGACTCTTAGATTGAATTCTTAAAAGCAGAGTTTGGGATCAAATTAGTTAAGATTTCCCTGTCATGTCTTTTGCAGTTACTTCCATTTATCTGAGTAAGTTTACGTCTGATTTTAAAAAAAAATATCTTAAGTCAGCGTGGTAAACTGGGCACATACGGCCCGAGACCACAAGGCCCGCGAAATTATTTCGTAATTGAAGGTGGTTGTCTTCTGGGTTGTAATGCCGTTAGTCTGATAGAAGATTACATCGTTTCAAAGGTGCTTGCTGCCTCTATCATCTGGGCGATGAGTAACGATGGAGCAGCAAACGCCTTTGAAACGTCGGTAATATTCTACCACACTTCACGGCGCTACAACACAGAAGACAGCCATCTTCACTCTCATCGACATTTTCATATTATAAGTTATCTCTTGTGATGAATTTTCCATAACAAACATTTTGTATTTCTCTCCTGCTTCCCTAATATAAGTCTCCTCCATGAAAATGATACTGTATCCACATCCAAATTTTACCTGCTCTTAAAGTAAATCCGTGAAATTAGATAAATAATCGTTTAAAAATGTGAATGAGTTGTTCCGGGACACGAATAGTGTTTTTAAAAATAACGTTTTCGGACTGAAGGTACGTAATAAATATTTCCCTGTTACATTTGCGATATGAGCTTACACTGTCTTGCTGACTTATTTTGTATTTGTTGAATAACAGAATAAACTACGTTATTGTTAATTGAATAAAAATTTCCTTGGATATTATCCATCGTCTAGTAAATATAAAACGTAAAACGACGTTTCGGAGGTGGGACTCTATCTCCGTCCGGACCGGAGATAGGGATTAGCTCTATCTAGTGGGCCCAACTGTGTAGGAACCTGAAGACGGAGATAGAGTCCCATCTCCGAAACGTCGTTTTTTACGTTTTATATTTACTAGACGATGGATAATATCCAAGGAAATTTTTATTCAAATGACTCTTCAGAACCTGAAGACGGAGATAGAGTCCCATCTCCGAAACGTCTTTTTACGTTTTATATTTACTAGACGATGGATAATATCCAAGGAAATTTTTATTCAATTGACTCTTCACCATCGTCAAGAAGTTTTAGATTTGATATACGTTATTGTTGTGTAGAGAATGGAAGGCCTGCCGTAAAGGTAAAACGTTCGAAGCTTTGAATTTACTGGGTTCTTTCAGTTCCCGAGTTGTTATCTTTGGGGTACTTCCTAGTAGGAACCGAATATTTAAATGCCGGTACGAAGTAGATAAAGTGGCTTATGATTATGTTAAGTAACAAATAAACAAATAAAAATATAGAAGGGTCTTGTGCTACAAAGTGTTAAATCGCTTATGTCCTGTTTCTGTTCGTAATGGGCCGAGAGGTCCCTCTGACTCCCACCATTTTCTGGCTGTGAATCTTTGATGTCAAAGGCACGCAACCCCTCTCCCTCGGCCTCTGTCCGCGACATATGCCTCGCGATTGATCACTGGGCACAGAACACTTCTCTGATCCTTCCCAGTACAGTCTGGTCTCCACAGTATTTGAACAACCCGATACACTGCACGACGTGTGTTCTTAAACACAGATCCAAAAGTTGTTATGGCAGCTGTCTGTTGTCCATCTTCAGGAACATCACAAGTCTTGGTTAATTCTGAGCCTATGGCGTCAGATGGGATGGAAAGATGATTATGAATAGTCAGAAAGAATCGGTCAAGGCCTATTTGAAGGTAGTCTTTGAATTCTCCAGGAGAGACTGTAGAAAGTCACTAAAAACCGTGGCCTTTTTTTGCTGTTAGCCTGACCGAGTTTCGAACTCGAACTTCCAGACTAAGGACAAACCACCGTTCCAATATGCTGCATTGACCGACATGCTGTCTAATTATGTATTGAAGCATTTTTTTATGATGTGTGTAAGCAACAGTTTAGAACCCAGTAAACACATTAAGCGTGTATAATAATTAAATTCGATTTATTGATTGACGTGTTGACAACAGCTGAATAGGCAGGAACAGATAAGCACTAAAATAAAAAATATAAATTCGATAGCAAAAGAAACAAAACAGATACACATTTATTTATATATATATATA